CCCCGCCCCCACGGCTCCGCCCCGTGCCCGGAACTGGCCACCCGGGCGCCCTTCGCAACCAGGGGACCACGGTCTCGCGTCCGAGATGTCGGACCCCCGGTCTGGAAAACGAGCACTGAATGCAGGTTTTAACAACGCCTTGTTTGCATCTCTTGCACAATTTAAAACTCCAGCGCCCTCCGTTCATCCGTACGCTTGTACCTGGAGCCACCCGGTGGATGCCACCAGCCAGGAGCAGAGGGGCAGGGTGTGCTCGCCCACCAGGCAGGCAGGTTCCCAGACCAGCTCTGGGCAAACCCGCAGCGCAGCGAGCGATTGGTAACGTTTGCAACCGGACAGTCGTGTCGACAGTTGCTGCCACCGAAGACTGACGGTGGCGACTCCTTGTGTGCAAGCATTGTGCTTTTGGTTTTCAAGATGTGGTCTTTGAAAGCAGATGTCCATCTGGTTGAGGGGTCGGAAGCACCAACCTTGGGGCTAGTAAGAGTTGAGCGCTTAACCCTTGCAAACCGCCCCCCCACCCCCATGCCCATGCCCACCGCTCCTGGACTGAGTGTAAAGGGCTTAAATGTAGGAACCGGCTAGAAAGCCCCCTGAAGGCCTGGCTGCAAGGCTATCTATGATCTGACTCCTAGTGCCCCTCCACACACAGGCCAGAGGGTCCTTTTAACACACCAGTTTGCGAAGAGCTAATGAAAAGACCTCAGGCTTTCCCCAAGTTTTAAAATAAAACAGCTCTCCACAACTGCTCAGGGTCCCTTAATAAAGCCCAAGCCCCAATCTCTCCTGGTGCTCTCACACCTGGCTTCTCTCAAGTCCACTGGCCCCAGGGCCTTCTGGGAGCCATTTTCTGGAGCTCTTCCCGTGGTTAACTCCTACTTCATCTACAGTTTGGGGCTGAGGCCACACTTCTGCCAAGGAGCATTCCCGGATTGGATTCTCAGACTACTCCAGCAGTCCTTGAGTGGGCCCTGACACTGAATGAGCACAATGTAAATATTTGGGGCACCCTCAGGCATGCGCACAAATATCTGGAACTCTGCAAATTGCTCGCAGTGGCGCGGTGGGGGAAGGGTGGACACTCATTCACCAACGACTTTATGCACTAGCAGAGCACGCACAGCTTTCTACAGCAAGAACAAATACACACAAAACATTTGTTGGATCGGTTTCCACGTCAAGGGGGAACTGGTGGGGAAGCTGCCCCTCCTTGGAGAAGAGGCATAAATGAAGTCAAATCCAGCAAGGGGGGGGGGCACTAGCCCTTGGCCTCCCCCACCCCAGGTGCTCCCCGCACACAGTGGCAAAATCCATTCCAAACACCATCAAAATATGTATTTATTTAAACCAAAGCAGGAGGGAGAAGGGCAATTAGGCAGGCAAATCAAAGTGCAGATGGGGGTGGGGGGGTCAGTGACGCAGCCTGGAGCAGGGAAGGGACACTTCCAACGCCACAGAAGGGGGCCCTGCAGCTGGGCTGGGGAGGGACCCTCCGCCCACCCTGTCACAGGTCCCCACTCACCTCTCCCATCTCCATCCTAGGGGGCCGCTGTGCCCTGCCGAGATCGCCTGGGGGTGGGGGGACACCCCTCCACCCACCCATGGCTGTCAGTCAAGTCAGTCTGTCTCCCTCCCTCGCTTTCCCAATAAATAAGCAGGCCTCAGCTCCTTCGGGGTGGGGAAAAAGAACAGCTCAGGGACCCCTGTCAGCTCAGGCTTACAGAAGTTGGGACCCTGGCCCCACACCCTTCCTACCCTTTGCTGGTGCCCTAGGCTTGCCAAAAAGGCCCCGATAAATAAATAATGCTCCATTAAAGCTCTGAGTCAGAAAAACCTTAAGACGACTTTAAGAAGTGCTCTTGCGGTCCTGCAAACCAAGCCAGTGAGGCATCCCTGCCTGGCCTGGGGGCTCGCAGGCTTCTGGGAGCAAGTGGCCACCCTGGGCCTTGGGGGGAAGGGCGGGGGGGCCTGGAGCAAGGAGACCAAAAGTGCAGTTCGAGCCCCCACCATGCGCACACAAGAACTCGTGAACACACACGTGGACACACTGGGCCGTGTTCTGGGTGCACGTACCCACGTGTTCACCTTCATAGCCCGGTACCATCCGCACACTCGCTCACATAAACGTGCTTACCTGGCACTTCTACCAGAGGCACACACTACACACAGACACATACATACAAACACGTATCGGGTTCACATACAGACACACTACAAACACTGAATCTGTGCCCCCCTGGCTTGCTCAGCCTGCTGGCAGTAGCCAGCTTCCAGGGCTAGAAGTTTCTAGATCAGGGAAACCAAGAAGTCAGCACTAAACAAGGCAAGCGCTCTGCAGTGGTGCCAGGCAGGACAGAGTAGAACTGTCCCTACAGGGCTCCTAAGACTAGAAGTCTTTATGGAAGCAGGCGGCCACATCTTCCCCCAGAGGAGCTGGTTGTGGGGCAGTGCCTTAACCTCTGCACCACGCCCTCAGGCTCCAGAGATAGGGACAGCTGGATATAAATTAAATGTCTCAGATTGGGCTGAAGGATGGTCATGGGCAGGGGGTTCCAGCGCTGCAGAGACTAAGTGGGCACCTTGGGAGGCCCTGGCCCCCATGCCCCTTCAGAAATCCATGGGGGTCAGGTCCCCAAAGTCACAGTCGAAGAGTTCTCTGACGCCCTCGCCATCGAGGCCGAAGTGGTACCCGAGTGCCTCGTTGGGCGGCGGCAAATAGATGAACTCCTCGGGGAGGAGGCCAGAGAAGCCCTCCTGCTCCTCCTCCTGCTCCTGCTGTAGGAGCGAGTCGGCGGCCAACAGTGGGGACAGGGGCAGGGGCAGGTGGTCCTCATCCAGAGGGACTTGCAGGCCATCCATGTCCATCGGGGACAGCAGCGGCTCTGGGGAGATGGGGAAGCATCACAGGCCGGGGATGCCCCAGGAGGAAAGACAGGGGAGCCCTCCTGGTCGCCCCACCATCTACCCACCCGGCAGGGGGCCCTTCACCCACCTTGCTCCAAGCTGAGCAGGGAGTGGTCAGGAATGGTAGCAGGAGGGGAGGGCAGTGGCGACGGCGGCTCGAGGATGGGGGAGGCCAAGACGGCCACCCTGGTCTCCTCGGTGGCCATCTGCTCTTCCTCTTCCTCGGGGGAAGCCACCTCAGGGGCTGGGGTCTGTGGGGTCTCTTCAGGGTTGGGTTCCTCCTCCTCACTCTCCTCAGGGCACAGGAAAACGTCGATGGGGCCTTGCTTGCTCTTCAGGTAGATCTGAAAGGTCTGGGGCAAAAAAGAGGCAGGGTGAGCCCAGGCTCCGGTGATGCCCGGCCTGACCCCGCCCACCAGGGTGGGCTCTGACCTTCTCGGAGTCCACCACTTGGAGCTGCGTCTCAGGAGGGGCCTTGATCACCATGACCATCTGCTCCGCGGGGTCTGCAATGCTGCGTAGGTCTTGGCAGGTCACATAGGCTAGAGTTGGTAGAGTCAAGGGTATAACTTTCACCTCTGGCCCCCCAACCCCACCCTGTCCAGACAGCTCACGAGGCGAGACCTACACCTGCCGCACAGCTGATGCGCAAAACCCTTCTTTCTCAGTCTCTCAATTATCTACCGGAGTCTCAGTTCCCACATCTGTACAATGGGGACCATGGCTGCCCGCAATACCCACTGCTGTAGGGTGGGTTCCCACACAGAGACCCTACTGAGGGTTGCCGAGGCTCTTTAAATCTTCAGAGGAGCTGACAGTCTCATCTCAGCTCAGAGTGGCTGGTGGATTTGAACCGCTGACCTTGCAGTTAGCAGCCCAGTAATTACCGAGCCTCGCTGCCTGAGCTCTTTCTTGCCACAGTCCCGTGTAACTATCCCCGAGTGTTAGGAATTTATTTTGTCCCACGATCTGGGTGTCAACTGGTGGCTGTTACTGGAAATGTACAAGCACAATTTGAGTATCAAGTATAAAACACGGGGTATTTTAATAGCTTTCATTCTGGTGAATGTAAGACAAGCGAATGTCCCTCAACTCACACTACCACTTCTGCCTCGAGCCGCTGCTCTAAAGATGTGGTGCTACAGGTCTCGCTGGCGGCAGCAGTGGTCTAAGTGTTGGATGACCAACCCAGAAAGTGGAAGTTCGAACCCAGCAGGGACAATTCCACTCTACAGCCCAGGAGGTCACCGCCCCACACTCGCGGCCAGCCCTGCCCTGGGGCCCAAGGATATTCCTCTCCGGCAGCTTCCACGGAGGTCTGCTGGATCTGATTGGCACAAACTTGGATCAGGTGGTCCAGCTGCTGCTCTCGCTCCTGCAGGTGCTGCAGCTCCCGGGTCAGTCCTTCTAGTTGCTGACTGATCCCCTCCTTTGTCTGGCCGCCCCTGCGGGGAGCCCACAGGGAGGGTTAGCAGCCTGTGACCCCACTGTCCAGCGCCCTGGACCGCAGGAACGGAATCTGCCGCTCCCGCACCTCTATTCTATGAGCCCAGGCAAGCTTGCCCCATCCCAAGTCTGGCTCCTCAGAGGGCATGCAGTAACGGGCTGAGCGTGGGCTTCACATCACACAGGCCGGAGCTTAACTTCGTGGCCCAAAGATCGGGAAATGCCCACCCGTGACCCATAGGGGGCAAGGCAAGCAAGCAGGGATCACAGAAGCCCCTCCAAGCCATGCTGCCAAAGTGGTAAAGCATGAAGGGGGGAGGCTGATGTGTCTGAGGATGACCAGGCTGACTCAGGGCAGGGAGAGGAGGAACGTACACCAGGAATTAACAGGAATAAGCCGGCTATGCCACACAGAGGCCCCAGTGGCACCAGAAGCCACCAGTGTCTACCTTGTGTTATGGGGGTGGTCAAGGTCTGAGTAGGGTGCATAGGCAACTTTTGGGGTGCTAGAAAGACTCCTTATCTTGATCCCGATGGTAGTAATCAAACAAACAAACAAAAAACTCACTGCCATCCAGTCAATTCTGACTCAAACCTTGTAGGTTTCTGGTATTATTATTAACTCTTTAAAAGAGTAGAAAGCCTCATCTGTCTCCCTGGGAGCAGCTGGTGCTTTTGAACTGCTGACCTTGAGATCAGCAACCCAACACGTAACTACTATACCACCAGGGCTCCCTGTGGTAGTTACCAAGAAACCTCAAATTGTCCAAGTGGACTAGGCGAGGTATTTAGCCAGAAGCAGGCTGGGCATGTCTGCCCGGCGCAGGGCCTCTGCCTGCCCCTCCTATTTGGCTGATACCTACAGCCACTGGATGTGGTTCTTGGACTTCTTGGAGATGAGATGGATGCCCTCCAAGACGTTGGTGATGTCATAGATGCGTCGCTTCTGCACCTTCAGCTCCTCAGCTGCCCAGTTCAGGTCCACCACCCCGTCGGCGGAGCGGCTCAGCAGGTCCAGAAAGCGTTTGGTGGTCAGGTTCAATGATGTCTCATAGCGGGACTTCTCCCCCGGAGATTTCACACCTGTGGAGGGGGCCGGGGGAGGAGGTTAGAAAAGACAGGGTCCCATAGCCCTGCCCCTGCTCCGATGCCTCCCTGGCAGCGTGTGGAGCAGAATAATGTGGGGCAGGCCGCTCCGCCCCCCTGGCAAGGCGCAGCAGGAAGGCTCTGTGGCCGCTGCCAACAGCATTCCTCTCTGGGCCTGCTCTGGAAATCTCAGCTGTCCCTTGGGGGCCCCAGGGGCCTGGCAGGCCAGAGCTGAGTTTGTTTGCCCACCCCTCCCCACCCCCTAAGCCTGGACACCTGGGTCCACCCCAGCCCAAATTCAGTGAGTACCTTTTCCTGGGTGGCGGCCCCGGCCCCGGCCGGGCCCACTGCTCTCGGCCAGGTACTGATGGTCACTCTCCAGGTCCAGCCTCCGCTTCACCTGTGGCAAAAACAGTGGAGGACAAGCAGTTGGTGAGCGAGAGCAAGCTAGGTGAAGTCTTGGGACCCTTGAGCTGACCCCAGCTGTACCGCTAACCCTGTGAGGAGCCTTTGGTGGGATCAAACAGCCCTGCAGGTTCTCAGGTTCTTCCCTCGCCACCAAGGAGTTCATGTCGCCAGACAGGCTAGAACCGCCCCAGTTTCCAAGGCTGCAACTCTTTACAGAGCAGAAAGCCCTGTCTTTCCCACAGAGCAGTGGGTAGTTTCAAACTGCTGACCTGGTGATTGCAGACCAATGTTCATCACAACCCACGGGGGTCCCTCTCCTTCCAAGGTGGGGCCAAATCCTTCTCTTTAAATGAGAGCCAGGTTCTCTGTGACTTCCAAGCTGAGGGAGCAGGTCCAGAGGGGGCCCTGGAGTTCCTCCTGGCTTCCTACATTGGATCTCGCCCTACTGCGGGGCATGCCAGCCGCCCTGTGGTGACTGGGGATTCCCAAGCAGGCCGCAGGAGAGGCTCTGCCAGCAGCCCCAGGGGTGAGCTTGAAAACAGATCCTCCAACTTGAGGCAAACCTCTGGGATTACTGCAGGCCAAGGGTGCGTGCCAGAACCACCCAGCGAAGTCATTCCTGAATTCCCCACCCAGATACCGGGTGAAGATACCAGCTCACTGCGTGAGCTACTGAGCATGCAGGCCAACGGGAAAAGTCACCTCTGGTTTTTGACCCCTATCCTCTGCAGAGGAGCCCTGTGGCGTGGTGGCTACACATGGCTAACCCCAGAGTTACCAGTTCAAAACCACCAGTCACTTCATGGGAGAAAGACTAGGCTTCCTACTCCCATAAAGAGTTGGTTTCAAAACCCACCGGGGCAGTTCTACCTGGTCCTCTAGGGTGGCCAGGAGTAAGCTCTTCATTCACTAAACTAGTTCTTTCCTGCCATGTGATGGTAGCTCCACAGGAAGAGAACGGAGAACCCGCAACCGCTCCACTTGGCGGCAGCAGATTGATGGAGCAAAGGTCTGTCAAGGATTTGGCAATCAACGCTCCTGGAAGCAGCAGCCAAGACCCAAAGGATGCTCAGCACTGGTAAATCTGCTACCCGAGACCTGGTGGGGGTGTTAGAAGCAAAGGTGTCACTGTGCGGACTGAGGCGCAGCTGACCCGAGCCCTGGCATTTTCATCGCCTCCGAGCATGGGACAGCTGGACACGGACTAAAACCCACTGTCAGCTGGCAGTTTTTAACTCTTAGCCACCCGCTAGGGCAGGACGGGCCTGCCCCCGTGGGTTCCCTTAGTGTAAATCTTTCCGGGAGTAGAAAGCCTGGTTTTTCTCTGGTGGTTTTGAACTGCTGACCTTGCAGTTAGCAGTCTAAGAGTGGATGCTTTCGGATGATGGTGTTGGCAAAGACCACTCTTGTCGTACTCTTCTCCAGTTGTCCCTCACTCCCTGTGAGGGCAGACAGGTCTGTCGCACACACAAACCACTAAGTTCCTTACGGGCAGCTACTGGGCCGACATCCCTGTATCCAGGGTCCACCACAGAGGCCTGGGCACCAGCTAATGTTTGCTGAGTGAAGCTCCCTCCCTTTCCTTCCCCACTCACCCCAGCTGGGAGCCAGGTCACCAACACCCCTACCCCTGACTCGGGCATCCTGCCGAACAAAAGAGAGGATGCCAAGTGCTTCCTGCGGAACGAACACCAAGCCACAGAATGGTCTCGCATGCGTCCTCCATCCTCAAACCCTCCAACCACCGGCAACTTCTGGGGTGGCTGGGTAGCGGTGCAGTTGCTAGGTGCGACCGAGTCAGTTCCCGCTCCTAACATCATTACTACGTATAGCACAACGAAACACCACCCGGTCCTGCGCCCCGTGTTTGATCCCTCTGTTGCACCCCCGTGCCAGTCCGCCTCGTTGAAGGCCTTCCTCTTTGTCGCTGCCCCTGTGTCACCGAGCACGATGCACTTCTCCGTGGACCGGCCTCTCCTCGTAATATGTCTTGCCACCCTCACTCTGAAGGAGCCTTCGGGCTGGACTGCTTCCCCAGTTGTGTCCTGCTGGCAGTCCATGGTCCTTCCAGCACCAACACAAGCTTGGCATCAGCTTTCCTTTGGCCAGCTGGGCAGTGTCAGTCTATCCAGAGGGGCCTTGTAAAACCCTGGCATCCTCTCCCAGAAGCGGTCAGTGCAGGCTCTCGGGAGCCCGGTTCTGCTCGACACACTGGGGCCATCGGGAGAGGGGCAGGCTTGGTGGCAGCTGGTTTGGGTGGCTTCCACTTCCACAGGAACCTTCTACTCCAAGAGGTCAACAGCCAGTGAGAGGTGGAGGCAGGACTCAAACCCGGCTCAGAACCCACACTCATGTCCACCCTCTCACCCAAGTCCTACCTCCCCAACCAGAGCCCGGTCCCACCACTGGGTCCATACGAACCGACCAAAGTCTACATCCACTCAGCACAAGTCTGCTTTCGGCTGCTCCCCAGTACCCAGACCCCTTTCCACACCTTCGACGCCGTAACCGGAAAACAAGAATGTAGGCCGATGTGGTCGGCTGCTCCGAGGCAGGGGGGAGACATTCACTGCTGAAAACTCCCGACTCCAACAGCCCCGAGAAGAAAAAACAAACCCAAACTCACCATCACCGAATGGATTCTGACTCACCACGACACGGTAGAACAGCCCCGTGTGTTTCTGAGGCTCTACCTCTTTGCGGGAGTAGAAAGTTTTGTCTTTCTCCCTCACAGCAGCAGCTGGTTTTGAACTGCTGACCTTGCCGTTAGCAGGCCAATGTGTATCACTATGCCACCAGAGCTCCACGACCCTATGAGAGGCCACCTAGACTAGTATGTCACACCGCAGTCACACAGGACTGAAGCAAGTAGACAGACTCCTCTAAATATATATCCCCACTCTTTTCCTCTAGTTCAGATTTGGCTACTATCCACCAGCCTGTTTCAAGGGTGACCTCTGCCTAAGGGGACGGGGGCTTATCTGTACAGTGATGTGCTTCTTACCCAGGAGACAAAGGAGAGAGTAGGAGACCTTTTGACGTGTTAGAAAACAAAGCAGGCTTAGGGAAAGTAAAGGAAAAATAAATACAGCATCTATTTTCTTGTTTTGTAGTGGATGAGGCTGAGATCCTGGCCTCCCCACTTCAACTTTCTGTCCCCCTAACTCTTAAAGCTGTCTACAGTAAACATTTATTGTGAGAATTCTTTTTCTACACATGCTAACAAGATGGGGCTAGACAGGCAGGCCTGGAAGGACTGAATTGCACAAGAGCCTGGTATGTAGTAGGTGCTCAGTTAAAAGTCCATGGATTCAGAAGCTGACCTGTCGTTGGATCCAGGGGCTGCCCCAAATGCCAGTGCGGAGGGTAGGTGGGGACGCAGGTCATGTGCTCAATGGCGACCCATGTGTAATAGGGAAAGGACACCAGCTGGGCCCAGGACAAACTTGCTGCAGGGGCTCCTTCCCTGCAGGGGCGCTCAGCGAGCTCAGCTAGCTGTAGAATGAATGGAATGCTCTGACCCTGGTGGTGGCGGTGATGCACCTCTCACTGGTATTTTTTCTCCTGCTAGAGAAAAAAACAAACTCACTGCCATCGGTCGATTCCGTTTCATATGGCCCAATAATTACTAACCAAACTAAAAAACTCACCGCCATCAAGCCTATTCTGACTCACGGCAACCCTATTCAGAAGCCACCAGGTCTTCTGCTCTGGCCCTAGGCCTGCGGTTGCTGAGCGCTGGTCAGTAGAGATGACATGCCCAGGCCCCAGTTAGTACCCTCTCAGATGGGCCCTTTTATCGGGGGACGGCAGTGCCCCCTCCCACTCGCTCATCAGGAGGAAGGGTCCCTAGCTCCTTCCAGGGCTTTTTTCCTTGGCTACTAGTATTTCCAAAGCTGAGCCCATCGCCCACACAACTCACTAGCTGACGAGCTCCAGGGGAGGCTGTCACACTGCAGTGCCTCCATGGCCCCATCTGTACAAGGGTGGACTGCTCAGAGTTCAATGGGTTAATTTGGGTGAAGGGCTTTGGCACAGAGCCCTGCAAACAGTCTCTCAACAATGCTGGGCTGCTATTGTTATTATTATTAGCATCTTGGTGATTCCGGAAGGAAGGCAGCACTGGGCAAGAAGCCAAGGAGGCTGGGGAGTGGGGTGGGGGGTGCCTTCCCGGGATAGTGGAGGAACCAGCTGCCACCCAGGTCCCCATCGGCCGTTGGGCAGCTTCCACCTCTTTGCCGCTGGTCCTGCCTCCTCCGCCCCTCCTCCTCCCTCTAAGCCCCCCACAGAGACCCCAGCCTTCCTGGCCAGCTCCGGCTTGCCTGGGCCCCACCTTCACCCACAGGCTGCGCCAGTCAAACTGGTCTCCACGCCCTGCCCCACAGCACACCGGCGCAAGCTCCAGGCCTCCACCCGCTTCTCCCACTGTAATTTAAATGGCTCTTCTGGACTCTCCCCACCCCCATCTGAACTGGCCCTGAACCCCCAAGTGATTAGGGAGGCCTTCACTGGGTATCTCCCTGAGATGTCCTCTCCCGTGGCCCTGGGGTTCCCCCCCTCCAGTGCCCTGAGGCCCAGCCCACCCAGCCCTTCCACAGGGGCCTGCCTGATTAATGAGGCTCAATAGCAAGCAGGGTCTGGGAGGGTAAAGGGTGGCAGATGGAAGGACAAGCAGAGGGAGGGGGATCAGCAGCTGGCCCAGGCGTCTCGCCCCACCCCTGCAGAGAAGGCCTCCCTGCCAGGAGGCCTGTCCCCAGGGGCCTGGACGGCTAGGCCTGCACCTGGCGGTAGACCATGCAGGCAAGAAGAAAGGTCTCTTCAAGTGGCTTCCCAACCATCCATGGCCTCCTTCTTATCCCACCCCACCCACCCCCGCCCCCCAAATCGGGTCACAAACTCTGGTTCAGCCAGCAGGCGTCCGTTCAAACCCTGACCCCACCTCTGAACACGGGCAAGTCCCTTCCCCTCTCTGGGCCTCAGTTCCTCTTCTGTCAGATGGGCACAGTGCCTACACAGAGCTCACAACGTGGCTGAGCGGTGACCGAAGTCAGTCCAGGGCTCAGCCAAAGCGTCGGATGGATCCACCAGGGCCATGGAGCCTGACAATGGAGCCCGACCCGGGTGGCTGCGGCGAGGAAGGAGGCCCAGAGCCTAGCTGAGTACACAAGGTCTGACCCGGAGGCACCCAGCACCCAACGACTGCTAGGAGGCCCAGCCCAGGGAGGGCGCTTCAGTCCATCCCTCCCCCAGCTCTCGCCACTTCCCGGCGACACGCCGAGCCCGCCCGGGTCGGCGCCGGGAGC